GAAAGGAATGCTGTGCTAACTGATTGCTGTCTCTTCTTGTTTTAGAGGTCACGATCATCCAGAGCTGTGTTAAAGTGTCAGCTGTCATTCAAGGCCTGGTCAAAGGTGAGTACAACAGCACGTACACTGGTCATAAACATGCAGTGTGGGCTCATAAATGATAAACATATATGTCATAAATAACCGTGGCAATTCTTGGAGAACAATTTAGCTTCCGAGGAAGATCTTGCCTTTTTATAGAAGCTTCTAATCTGTACCAATATTTTTAACTTAACAAAGAAATCGGTCACCAAGCACTGTGAGATTGCAATGTTGTGGGGAAAAAAATAATTAAAATATTTAATTTGCAAGTGACAAAATTTGACTCTGGACTACCACAATGCTGTGTTCAAAGACATAAAGAAAAGAGATCAATCAAACCCCTGGTGAGCCCTTTTTAATCAGGCTGCATACAGTGATAATTTAGATCAATTCAGAGGGCTTTGTTGGCACGTGGTGTCAAAATGAAAAGGGAATGACTTTTAGCAAGTCTCTTGTGTCATATTTAGCCAGAAAAACCTTGTTTTATATTTATAACTTGTGTTTTTATACCAGTGTCCCAGCAGGTTGATTTTGTGGTTGCATCATTCTGTATCAGTAGGCAGAGCTGCATGCTCTCTGTCCCGCACAACAAGTCTTCATATGACATATTTAAAAGAGAAAAAACAAGGTTTGAATCTGCAACGTTACTGTCCAAGAAAAGGAAGGAATTGATTATCAACTCTATTGCTTTTTTTTTGTTTGTTTTTTTTGTCCTGGTGCAGGAGAAAGTGTCAGGACAGACTTGATGGTGGATCCACGCAGCAAATCCCTGGTGCTTAATGGGAAACCAGGCCACCTGCAGTTTTACTCCCTCCTGAGAGACAAACTGCTGTACAACGTAAGCACTATGCTTTATAAGATATCACACATAAGTCAGAGCAAGTAAGTTTGTGGATCCCTTTTCAAGGCTTTTATTTACAGAATGTGCTATTGCACCTGAAACATGAGCATAAATATGCTTATGAGTACTTGGAGAAAACCTATTTAAATTATAAACAGAAGACAGGTTCAAACACAAATCTGTTCTGATCCACAGGCTCACTTAATAACACTCATCAACACCAAGGTGTGAATAAGCCTTAATAATTAATTTCTGACATCTATCACCATCTGTGTTTCCACAGCTGGACATAGTACAGCAGGAGTACATTCATGAGTCGGGCCTGGAGCAGTTTGAGGTGGTCAAGGCGGCCTTCGATGCCTCTGGCAACTGGCTGGCAACAGTGGAAGAAAGAAAACAGAAAGCTGCTGAGCTGGAGCTTAATTTGAAACTCTGGTTATTTGATGAACAAACACAAAGGTACAGACCTGAACTTTAAAGATCTTTTTCTTCTTATTCCTCAACCACAACCCTGTAACGCTCTTACTGTATCACCTGCAGTTTTGTGCTGAACACAACCATCTCGGCCCCACACGAGGCCCGGATTACAGCCATGTGCTTTTGCCACGCCACCGACAGCCAGACCACCATGCTGGTCTCCACCAGCAAGGACGGACACTTCAAAGCCTGGCAGCTGGCCGCACCAGGCCACACAGAGGGTAACCAGTCTAGCTCATTTTTTGACAGCCCATTCAACCAAAAGGAGTTTGGCTGATCTGTTGACATGTGGTAATATTTACTTTGCTCTTCTAATTTGAGCTGTCTTTTTCTGTAGTTGTAGGCTTTTCTGTCCTGTAGTGTGCATGTTCAGTTTATTGTTTTAGAACTTGGTGTTCTTCACAAATGAATGCTCACCTAAGAGCATGCATCGTGCTGTGTGATACTCAGACACGAGTAGTAAACCTGTGACTGAAGCTGCTTTGGAAATCTGTCTTTAACCGCAGACATTCAGGCTCTTTTTCCAACATCGGAGCACAATGTTAGAAAAGAATAGATTTCAATAGAAAAATGCACCCTTCAAAACATCACTGCACACACTGTATAATTGGAAAGAAATAATGTACATTTTCTATCTCTTATCAATCACTTGATCGCAATAAAAAAACACAAGGTATATATAATGTATAGTATGTATAATAAATACTTGAGAAATGAACTGTAAGTTGGGTTTATATATTATCTTTAATAATATGCAACAAACAGGCCAAATTACCTATTGGAGTAGAAAATGTGTAACATTTTAGTTAAAATTCTTTTTAAAACATCCATATCATAATGGCCTCATACCATCAGTACCATACAGATGCCTTGTACAGCCATGATTCAGCACTTTTTTAGCCAGGGAGACATCAGTAGGAGTGGAGCCTTGGTTGTTGGCAGCCTCTAACATTTTGGCTTCACAACACATCAAGTTGAATGTTAGATTTGAGCCAAATGAGGCTGTATTTCTCACTAATCCAACACCCTCTGTGTCTGTCTCCCTCTCTCCTTCCTCCTGAACGTGCCAGAAGGTGAAGGTCCTTCCTGGTCGTGTGATTTTGTCGGAACCTATCACGGCCTGGCGCCTGAGTGCTGCTGTTTCTCAGCCGATGGTTCTCTGTTGGCCGTCAGCTTTCAGGAGGTGGTGACTGTGTGGAGCCCGGCCTCCTGGGAGCTCCTGACAACTCTGTCCCAGCCACCAGGAGCTATTAGGTCAGAGCATTAACATGCACTCAAAGATCCACACATTCCCGAGGGGGCTGGGTGCTGAAAGTTAATACTTCAGTATCAGCAGTAGTGAACTGATAAAGTTTGAAGCACTGTTAAGTATTGAAAATGATGATTGAATGCTTGGTCTGATTCTTTATATTCTATCATAGTTACCCATCTTCCTGTCCAGCTGGTTGTATTAATATTAAAGAGTAATGCATTTGACAGGCTTGACCTGGTCTGTACTTAATGTATCATATTTCAGGTATGTGTCCCAAGCAGCTAATGTTGTAAGATTAGAACAAACTGGAAAAAAAGACGCAGGGACACCAAGGCCTAATATTCAGTTTTTAAAAAAACAGTAGGGTAGACTAGATAACACCTGACAGTACAAGACCATGCAGTAAACAGCATTTCTTAAAGAATAAGACTGGTGTTTTTCTTACTGTCCGAGAATCCGGTGAAAAGAACAAAACCTCCAATTTGTTGATCTGTGTCTCAGTACATTTCTTTCTACTGAAGAATCTGTGTCCAACATATCGATGTTCAAAGTAGACAAAGGTCAGACAGCAGCATTAAAGCATTCATCTGTGTAAGAAGACACAGCATAAATATAAAACCATATCCTGAAACAAAAGAAAAGTATTTATCAGCAAATATCTTATTCAGTGTCTGACAGACGCGTAAAGAAGCACGACGGTACACTAATTCTGTAAATTGGAAAAAGAAACCAAAACAATAAAGATTTAACTGCTTTCGCACACAGTGCCAGTGATCACAAGAAAAACTTCTCCTGCAGAGCGAAAGACTGTTGAAAGAAAAATTTGCTTATAAGGATCCAAACTGGTTTCAAAAGTGATCGTAGAGTCCAAACGGTGTGTCTCTTCGATGCGATATATCACGATATTTATGTTGCGATTCGATTTTATTGCGATTTTAAATATATTGAGATATATTGCAATTTATTACCTTTTTCCAACTTCCAATTAGGTCCCTAAAGTCAAACCTTGTCAACATCTGTTTATCTAAAAAGATGCATTTCTCTGTTTGTTCATATCACTTTTTCAGTCCTCTATATGGTCCTGTTAAGTTTTCTAGGGGACTAAAAAAGCAATAGATTTTATTTAGATTTTTTTTTTCTCCCCCACCCCTAGTGTCTCTAATGTATCTTCACTAATGAATATTTGTTGTAGAGCTATTCTACTAAACAGTGTATTCATCTTCCCCAGTAAGCGCAGACTGGAGACTCAGGGGCTCATATTCAGAAACAAAGAACATACAGCTAACAGCAGTCAGTTGAAGCGCAGTGCACATGCACAGATTCACTCAGCAACCAGCTGTTTTAGAGTCTGGCTGTTTGCTGTGTAGGCCCCCTTAGCCCCCCTTTTCTGGCAGAAGTCCACATGGTTGTTCCTCACCAAAAACAAGGGAAGTAACTACCGGAGAAAGTGCTGCCTATCAGCCAGTTGAACACAACAGTTTCACAACGTCGCCAGGTCTCATATATGTTGGCTGATGTCCCCTCTGCTCAAGACACATAACTACTTTTGCTAGTTTCTGTACCACTTTTCTGATGTATGACCAGAACACTGAGTCAGCTTTAGCATATTTGCAAGAAAAACAAAGAGAGCTGACTTGCAATTTATCTAAAAATGAAGGATCCAGCTGAGATAAAGATTGAACTGTTTTTGAAGGCATTAACAGCCTTGAAACCTAGAAAAGGTCTCTTGGAAAATAGTGCGTACAGGCAGATATTTGTGTCTTCTCTTACACGAATGTAAACAAATCTGAATTAATGACTCCTAACCGATCAGCTGCCAAGCTTGAAAACTCAATCATACTCAGAAAGCCTCTTGAAATGAGCGGCTGTATCCTGTTGAATATGGGAACTGAAAGGGAAATTTGTGCGAATTAACACAGGTTGGAGGAAGAAAATGGGAAGACGTTTTGACAGCTGCCCGGTGCCCCTTACATAACTTCTAACTATGTATGTGAAGAACTGGGTCAGTTGCATGACCTCCAACTTCAGCAACTCCAGACTCTTTACATGCAGAAATTTGCAAAGGAATGTCACAGACTCACTTTAACTAATACGTAGAAGGCAGCATTTTGAAGAGTGAAAAGGTGGCCTTTATTGATTTATCTCCCAGAAACACATTTTCTGGGTGTTTGGGTCTTGGTGGGGGTTCAAACCCTGCTTAGTAAAGCTAATCCTGTGAAATATGTGTGGTGTGAGGAGCTGGTTTGTTGGGGGTGCACTACAATTCTTTGTAGCCACAGGAAAATTAAGGGAACTTTTTTTCTCTCCAACAGGGATCTTTGTTTTGGACGACTTAGCTGTTCCAAGTATCTGCTGGGAACCACTGCCAAAAACCTTCTCTGCTGCTGGAACCTCCTCACCTGCTCCTGTAAGGCTGCATGTACAGTGTACATGTCAAAAATTCAAATTTGCAGCTGAATGTATTTGTTACAACTGTTTTTTTTTGTTCATAACATAATTGGACTTTTCTTGTTGCTTGTTTCTCCCTCTTGCTCATTCTCCTGTCCCCTCTGGCAGTGGAGTGGAGCACCTCAATGGACATCAGCCTGCTGCTGGCTGACCCCCTCTCTGAGAACATGGCTGCCTTCTGCTGTCAGGCTGGATGCACAGACTGTAAGCTTTAAACTGGATGCCCAAATCTGAGTTTTAGCTTTTAGTTGTAATCACTCAAAGCACACGGAAAACATTTTTGCGAATCAAATTTAAACCCACACCAACCATTTCTGAACAGGTTAATGACCATTAATGTATGACAGAACTGACCAGAGGTATTCCTAAAGATCAGACTTGAGAAAGGAATCCTAAATACTTTCAGTCTGCAGTGTAGCCTAATTACATTCAGCTACACAAGTTCAGTGCTTCAACTCAACAGTCTGAGCCACATTCTTTAAGCTGTGGATTGAAAAAAGAGTCTGTATAAATATTTTAACAAGACTAAGAGTCTACAGCCACACTAGCAGCTCTGTGAGGCTGTACTTAGGCACAGCCGTAATTTGAGCACCTGAGACACTGGAATTTGTAGTTGTAGAAAATGGTCACACATGTATCGGTGTCACAGAGAAAAATGCTGTAGAGTTGCAAACTTGTAGAATTGATTTCCCTCCCACACTTTTAGCTTCTCAAATTCTTTATTGCAGGTGCACAAATCCTGTTCTGCAACCCACAAATGAAGAAACTCATTTTTTGCTTCCATTGCTGCCTCAAATATGGTTCACATTCACACACAAAATTTGAAGTCATGCGCACATCTGCAAATCAGTATGTGAATTCATGCAAAGACAGCTACACACCTTTAGAATATTTTCTCACTGATACATTTTTCATTTCTTGGATGTTTTTCTAGCATCAACACATGTCAGTAACTGCAGCTGCTTGAAGCTGCTGCTACGAGTCTCCAGAGCTGCACGCTCTTGCTTTTGCACCTCGTATCTCAATGAAATGTGGAGGTAAAAGTGATTTGTGCACCTGTAGCGCCAGAGGCGGGCACTGTTCAGAGATCAGAGAAGCCTTTGGCCAATGAAAGCAGCTCATTTAGGCACTTGTCTGTTTTTCCAATCTAGGTCAGATGAAACCACACCCAGTTCCGTATGACAAAAGCCTTGACAGTATGACAACTACAGTAGCTTGGAAAATATTGCCTTATGTACACAGTTATAGTTTGAGGTCAGAATTTTCCAGTTAAAATTTCAAACCTGGACCTCCACGCGTTCCAGGTACACGATGCAAAATGAAAAATAGAGCGGGCTGTGACATTAAATTTTTAAATATGTTAAGGATACATAAAAAAGTATTCATAGGACGATTTGCATGAGCTACAGTACTTAGCTGTGATTATTGTGCAATAGCATACATAGTCAGAATGTATTGTTTACATAATAACAAACGTGTAGGTATTTGTAGGAATCCTGCATATACCGCTGAGGCTTTCATCATATGGAACTGGGCATGGTTTCATCTCAACTTGACTGGAAAAACAATAGATCCAGATTGGTGCCCAAACAAGCTCTTTTGATTGGCCACAAGGCTTTTCTGATCTCTGAACAGTGCCTGCCTCTGGCTCCACAGGTACACAAATGACTTTTGCTCCACATTTCACTGAGCTATATGATGCAAAAGTGAGAGTGTGCAATACTTGTTGTTTGTGAGCAGCATACAGACTTGCTGTAGTTAATGACTGTGTGCTGGAAAGATATCCAATAAAACATTTATTTGTGAGAAAATATTCTACAGGTGCATCAGAAAATGCGTCCGTGACTTCATGGCACAAATGTGTTTTGCACCATAGTCACTGAAGCAAAAATGTGAGCGGAAGAGTTTATGCCCATGCAATGAACATTTGAAAGCTGCAAGTGTTTGTGAGAGAGAGGTTTGCAACTCGCAAGCATTTTTCTCTGTGACTTCAAATTTACTGATACACGTGACTATTTTCTACAACTACACAATCCACCTCACAGGTGCTCAGTTGTTTCGCTCCAATAATACCTTGGTAATTAACATGCTCACATGACGGTGCAATCCATTCAATAATTTTCAACATTGCCACCCCGAGAGCCCTGCAGCTAGCATGGCTAATAATTCCACACTTTGTACCAACCCATGAGTAACTCTTCAAAAATGCTTTTTGATCCAAGATACCTGCATGTGTTCAACAAATTTGATATTTATTAGAGTAATTAGAATGTTTCTTGTTTTGTAACCGTGTTAATATGTTTTGCTGGTCGTCTGTTCTCTATGTTCAGTGTTCGTGTTTAAGCCCAGCGAGCCTCGGCCGCTGTTTTCCCATAAGGCCGTGTGCTCAGGGAAGGTGACTCGTGCCGTCTTTGCCCCGAGGGAGGAGATGCTGGAGAGCTGTGAGGAGAGCAGTCAGTGGCTCAACTGCTCACAACTGTACTTCCTCACTCAGTACATGGTAAACATCACACAATATTTTATGTTGTGATTATAATAGACAACAAAGATTGGAACACAAGAAGTCTTCGTCAACTCATAGTGAGCAGGAAATGGCTGAATTCAGACAAACCAAATGGATTCAAGCTAAACCTTCTTATGCGACCTGAATGTCATGGTCATTATCATGTCATTTTAGTGCCACAGGGGAAAAGTAACATTGCAGGACCAACTCCATACTTGCCTGTTGCATATTCTGTGTGCTATTGTTGCATGGCTCATGTGGACTCTGCTCTGCAGGACCTCATGACATTCACCACCAAGGCAGAGGAGGACAGACTGATGGCGTCCAGCAAACAGGTACACAGCACGCCTGAGCACCAGCCACTACTTGGCAGGGGTTTCAAACAGTTTTGGCGTGCTACTCCAAACCTTTGGAAGTTAGAAGCTGATGCCTAGATCAGCTGTTGCTGCATATATTTATTTTGGGAATAAACACAGGGTAATGGTGAAGAGCAAGTTATTGTGCTTATTTAAAGAAACAGCAACACATGAACGAGATTGACCTCCGTCCCACCTCCTCTAATTGTTGACTTGTTTTCGTTATTATTAATGTGACATATTTCCTGTTTTTCCTGACATTGTGATTGTTTTTTTTTCCCCCCCTCCTTCTAGCTTGTGATCGACGACAGTGTCGCCATGACACCATTTTACCTGTTGCTGGGGAAACACCGGCAACAGGGAAATCAAGACACGCTGAGCAGCGTCTCAGCTGAGAGGACGCCTCTGCCACAGGGCTCCGTAGCTATCAAAGAGGTCTGTAGTTCAGCCCTGTGTAGATTGTTATCAGGAGTGGACGTCTTTGTAATTGTTTTGCTTGTTAAAATAAAGATTAAAAAAAGTCCTCTGTGTTTAAGCTGGTTCATCGGCACCGAAATGTGACACTGGCTATTGAAGTTCAAAACAAAAATATAGATTTTAGTGACTTACAAGATTTTGGGGGTAATTTTGTCATTTTTCTTGTCTTTTTTCCTGACAGCTTCTGCAGACCCCGGCCCACGTCTTACCCTCCACCTCTTTCCTCTGCTCCATGTTTGTACAGTCTCTGCTCATCTCCGTGACAGACGGCAGGTCAGTAGAGTATCTAAATATTTGTTCTTAAATAATGATACAAACAGAACTGTGGTAGTGGTTATTAGAGCCCTGTCTAATATGTTAATATTGATAAATATTCTTCACTCGGTGTCTGATAATGTCACCATGACTTGACAAAACACTGCTGGGTGTCAGGCTTTGAATGATTCAGCAACCTAAGGTCCTGGCTAAAACGGTGCAGTGTTTCCCCTGTGGACCTGTTGTTTATCATTTGGAAATATGAGTCATGTGAATTGTTTTTTATTTCTTTTTTTTTTCATGTGTGTTCTCATGACCTCCAGAGAGGAAAAGAAACATGCAGAGGAGGAAATGGAGAGTGAGAAAGAGGAAGAGGACTCGGAGGGGGAAATGGAATCCAGCACCACAAGACTAGAATCACTGGAACATCAGGTTGCAGAATCTGCAGCCCCCGCTCTGTCAAAAGCCCAGGTTAGAGAACTGAGGAGGGTGAAGAAACTTGACCACAGCTGGCTCGCAGCCCTATTGGACTCGTGATCATATTCAAAGACAGACACTCGGATTGTTTTACACCATTGCATCAGAGTGGATATTTACAGGAAAGAAAAGAAGTGTCCAAGTGTAAACAAATCCCTATAGAAATACAAAACAGAAAATAATTGATTGCTTGAGTATCGGCCCCTTTGGCAGCAGTTACAGCTTTGAGTCAGTCTGGACTTGTTTGTATTAGTTTGCACATTTGAACAATACAAATGTTTTCTCTGTAAAGCAGCTGGAACTATGTTGGATTGGGATGATGTGTGAATCACAATTTTTGCCACAAACTGGTCTGGATTCTGACTCGGCCACACCAGAATATTAACAGTATTGTTTCTAAGCCATTCCTATCCTGTGTAGCTTTGGCTGTTGTCTTGTTGGAAGATAAATCTTTTCCCACTTCCCATTGTTCTGCTGCTGGCTGCAGCATGTTTTCCTCCATTATTGTCTGTATTTCCCTGAGTTCTGGGGCCTCTACCACCAAATTGGCAACATGCAAGCATGCAAGTATAAGATCTTTCATTTCTCTTACACTATACTTGCGATCCATGCACAAGCATACAAGAGCTCTGTAAGACTTCCAAATGCATCTGCAATTTTGGAGCAACAATTGATTTTTTTATTTTTTAATGAAAATTGCAACTGTGCATTTGTGTGCAAGCAGTCCTCGCCTGTTACTTGCTACCTACACAAGCCTCCCAGTTCCTGCTGCAGAGAAGGATGCCCACAATGCTTGGCAGGACGGTGCCACCACCAGACTTCGTGCAGGGGATGGTTTGTTTTTGCAGATGTACAGTCTTTGGTTTACCCCAAACAGAGTTTAGTGTGATGATCCAAAAACTCAATATTGGATTCGAAAGAACCTTGTTTTTCATTTCAGTCTCCCACATGCCTGCTGGTAATCACTAGTCGGGTTTTTGAATCACAGGATTATAGCTATCCCATATTTGATCCATTTTTATCATCAGTTACTCTTCTCTGAGGGATGTCAAGTGGATCTTTCTCCTACAGTCAATGTTTGACTTCCAGATAAAGCTGCCAGGCGTTGATTAAATGCAAATCATTTTACTTAATATGACTTAAAACAACTGGCTGCCCCAGTGTATGTCATCGTAGAGAGATTAAATACTTCAATTTGTGGTGGCGTTTCTTTTGACTTGGACATTAAAGTATGTCTGCTTCTTTCCCGTTGTAATCCGCTGTTATTTAATGTTAAAACAAATGTCGGGGGAGGGGGGGAACTTTCTAAATGCATTGTATGCATGCACATATGTGCAATTACATTTTTCTATATTTTGGATTTGAATAAACAGATCTAAGCTTTCCTTAAATTGTTGCCCTCTGAGTCCAAACTCTCTGCCCTTTTCTGTTGTACTGTGTGATCTAAGTCGCTTTAGTTTTGCTGTAAAGTCAGGTCAGACTCAGCAGAGTCTTGATTAAAAAAAAAGTTCCGTCCTGAATAAGCTGTTTCGGAAGGAGAAGGTCACGTTTTGTTATCAGGCTTGGAGAAGAAGGTGTACTTAAATCTCAGCAGTTTTCAGTTCCTTTCTGTTTCAGCTCACGGGCTGAACTGTACGCTGGGATGAAAAAGAAGAAACTACTGTAATTCACCACTAGTTTAAACCCTGGAACTTTGTAATACTTTTTTTATATTTAGTTTTTATCACACACAAAAAAAAATCACATCTACAGACAAAAATCAACTACTAACTTTAGTTGATTTAACTACTATCACTCTACTAACATGCCAGCCAAAAGAGGCGGCTGAACAATATGTAGCAGTGCAGGAGAAAGCTCTGAACAACCAGGCAATTAGTGCATCAGGTTCAATCCAGAATTCAGACATAGTCTGCCTTTGCATTTTCATTTGAGCAAGACACCACAGTGAAATGTATACTTATATATAATATAACATATCAAACAAATGTATATAAACAGTATAAATGAGAGGGATTGTCTCCATTTTAATAAAGACTACTAAAGTTTGAGAATCAGCTCACAGAGGAGGTTAGCACTCTGTAAGAGGGGAGGAATAAAAACTTCTTTTTCTGTGGACGTGGGTTTTAAAGGAGTACTCAGAGTTGATGCAGCAGAAACAGATTATCTGTTTTTTTAATTCCACACATTCTTTGCCAAAACCTGGTGCCTTTAGTACCCATAATGCAACACAGGGATCTTGAGAGATTTTTTGGTGTATTGGGCCTAAAGGTAACAAAGGTGGGGCCCCTTTATGTACCTTTATTACATACAGTCAGCCTTTAATGTGTACCTTAAATGACTGACTTGTGAAATTGAGCTATGTTTGAGCTTCTAACACCTGACTTTCCCTATCAGCAGTGGTATCAGATAAATGTTATTTCTGATCACCTTTGAAATTACAGTTAAAGGCCTTTCCTGGAAGCTTCAGCTTTAATAAAAACAAATTATCACAATGTCTTGACAGGAGATTCTGACCAAACAAAATATGCTAGAGATCTTACACATAGAAAGGAAGATATCTTGGCAGTTCCTGTTTGTAGGCATTGGCCTTTAGCGATAGTAAGTGGCCTTTACACTCGCAAGTATGCATTTTTTAGTATTTGCCTTAAACTGTTACAGGAAAAATCCTGCCTTCATAAAAAAAAATATTAAGTGCAATTTAACAATTCCTACAAAGTACAAATTAGTTTGTTCTTTTTAATGTAAATAATATATTCAGTTCCAAACAGCATCCATCTTCAGGCTAAACCTAATGTTCTGTATGTGCCTTTGCATTTTAATATTGTTGTTCAAAGTAATTCTTATTGGGTCCAAAAAGAATGAAGAGGGCTGTGAAAACATGATGTCTGATGCTGCAACTGAACATTTCTCAAGCAAAACCTGCCTACAGAGCCTCAAAAAGGTGCTATGTATTCATTAGCTGTCTTACTGATTAGCGTTGAACTAGTATTAGGTGTTATGTAAATCTCTTAAAGTGGGACTAACTTCTGATATGACCATTACTATATCCTCATTGTTTTATTTAGTACATATCAGTTATCAAATTTGGAAATACATTGTTAAAATGATTCAATGAACCACAAAATGCAGAGTAAAAGCCCACGCACGTGTCCCAGGCCGAGCCCTCCTGTCGCTTGTGTCGAGGAAAAACCAGGTCACTCTTTGTCTTTTCAGCAGGCACGCAAGTCCAGATCATCCAGTTCAGCTTAAAGTCACTCAGTTTAACGCTGGCTGCCTGAAAGAAAGGGATTGTGGGGAGGAAAGTAGCAGCTAACTCTGCTGTGGTATGTGACCTCACACAGCAGCAGGCTAGCCCAAGACTCAGGCCAAGAAACCCTACGAACATAATATGTACATACACACATATATAAGACTAGACAGGCGAACGTAAAGGTTTTCTTTATTTAGAAGACCACATGCAACACAAGCAGTACCAACATCCGTATATTCTGTGGAGTGTGATTATTACATAAAAAGGATTTCTTTATGATTTAATGTCTGTGTCTACTGAACTACAATAACACTGAGATATATACAGAGAGATATATATATATTCAGATTAAAGCAGTATGATACAGATGAATTCAAATGAAATGCAAAAATCTTTAAGAAACCTCACGCAAACTGTTAACACTAGGAATATAAAAACATGCAAAACGTCAACTTTTCCAGACAAACAGCAGAGCAACAGTATACACAATGTATTTTTTGTATTTTCCATTTGTATATTTAAGTAAGTTTGTACTGACTGAAGGCTAATGCTATTTACATAAAAAAATACAGAGTTACGGCCATGTGTGATATTCCTGAATCAGCAGAACAAACTGTTTTAAGAGCTGGTTGTGTTCTCATGCCCAGACTGAGTTTGAGGTTACATTGAACCCGGGTGGAACATAAAAATGAAGCTCCATTCCCAGTGATCCTGCACCTCCGGGCAAACCTGCAGACATCCTGACCCACCACCACACCCTCCACCAGGTTTCATGGGAAAATGCGGCTAAAAAGTGGCCTTCTGTTCTCTGACATCTGGCGTGGCTAGCTCTATTTCCAACCTAAATAACCCCCCCTCCCCTTACCAAAATCTTGGCTGCCTAGATTTTTCATGGGTTGGCTGCGGCTAACTTGTCTCAATGTGTGCGTTTAACAGCTGTCAAGGCTAATTTACAACAAGGTGCCAGAAATCACTGGAGGTCGGAGGGGGAAAGGAACTAGTTATATTAGTTACTTTAGGTGGGTAGATCTTTAAAACGAAATAACACATTATTCTTTTTACAAATGAAAAGTTGAATTCATAAGCAACTAAATACAGTAGTGTAAGTAGTAGTAATAGTCTTGCTCAGCACACCCAGGGTTTTGCTGTTAGCCTGCTATGACCAGTAAGTAGCTTATGGTGGCGAGTGTTAGCAAACTTTCCATAGCTTTTGCTTTGTTACCAGTTAGCTGAACCTATGACTTGTCTGTTGCTGATGTTTTAGCAGAAAAAGTCACATATGCTCACTTTAAAGCAAAGATAGTTTCTGAAGGTCTGTGACTTTAAACTGTTTTTGGAGACACTTTACTTACTGACAAAATCACTTCAAGGGAAAAGTAGCATGCAAAAAAGCCACAAACAACAGGCAATACTATTTAAATACATTTTCTAGACTAGTAAGAGTAACCTGAGATCAGATCAGGGTTGCTGGCTTCGCCTCCCTGGCTGACTTTTCGAGGAAACTGGGATATCTGGGGTATTCAGCCCTGGCTAAAGGAACTGGTATAGTTTTTCCTCATAGACTTGTGTGGCTGAGGCAGGGAGACAGTTATTGAGTGAAATAGGACTGAGCAGGGGGTTTTGGGGGGAGTCAGGACTTCAGCCATGTGCAAAAATATTGATCAAATGCCTGATCACGCATTAGATGTAATGACAGATGTCAATCACTTAAAGTGCCTGTGTAACAACAATCATGATTGAAATTTTTTTCAAGAGAACGAAAAAATCACAAGGTGACAAAATAACACTATTAATGTAAACTACCAGAGAAACTAGATTTAAGTACAATCTCAGAGTGGGTTAGAAATATTCAGATAACTATGGGTATATGAAAGCAATAGTGAAGCTACACAACTACTGTCACCTGATAAAAATCTATATCCTATGTATTTGGAATGCTTCAGACAGATAACTGGATTCCCTCACTTCCTTTTATGCCGCATATGGACTTTGACTTTGGTAACTGAGAGAGCTATTGAGAAGGGTGCATAGGATTTCTCATTTCTTTCTTATGGCACAACCGTGAGCAATGGCACAGCGCAATACTGATGATACAATTATTAATTCATAAAAATCACCGTCTTTATCTCCTGAATAAATACAGTTATTTGCATAACCCTTTATAACTACGTATTAAAGAGACCAGATCCCAATTCCCAGTTTTGAGTTTGGTTAAATAAAAAGCACCCCCCCCCCTTGTCTGGAGGAAGGCATCCACAACCTGCTCATCGTACGTGTTAGCTGACACAACCAAGAGTAGGCTACCAGAGAACAGCTAGCAGACACAGCTACAGCACCAAGGAAGTCACTGAGAGGCAAGTGTCAGAAAAGGGGGGAACGCTCTGTCTTTTCCGGTCTCAGCCGTTCCCCCTAATGCAACCCTCAGTGCCTGCTTCCCTGCAAGAATTCTCCCTCAGTTTGCCCTTTAGTTAGCTGAAGCACCTTCGGAAAATCTTTCCAGCTAGACCCAGGCTGTCAGGAGGAGAATACTTTACAGGGCCTCCCCTCACTTCTTTAACAGGACCCTCAATGGGGTCACAAGCCTAGAAGTGATGGATCCTTGTTTGACAGTACATATACGTATCAAAGAGCATCGACCCATAGATGAGAAGCTGAGGCTCTCATCTGACTCCCATGCTGAAAAAGTTAGAGAAACCCTAAAGTTTTACTATGGATTAGTATCCAGTTCTTAAAGCTTTCAACTCACCTCCTGCTAATGATTAATGCTTTATTAGTGGCTACAGTATATATAGTATGTTAAGTTACCTTTCTCTGGTTTACCTTAGCATTCCGCCAGCTACAAGCAAAGATGTTAGCTGGATAAGGCTGGGTAAGGCTTGAGAAATATGTACCCAGGACAGAGTCTCTTTTATGGGGTTAGACTGTGGTAGAAAGTGAGGGGCTTTCTACATTCTCCACCTTCTGCTCCGGCGAGCAGCAGAGAAAGAGGCGGCTGCCCAGGCTCTTGAAAGCAAACCCAAAGTACATCATGTGACCCATGGCCACGAAGGAGACAGAGATGATGACCAGCAGGCCAAAGGCCTCCGGGTTCGGAGCCAGAATCACCATGATGAAGTGCAGCAGGTCTAAGAGGTAATTCATGGAGTTCTGGACACCGTTGATGACACCTCGCTCTGACTCGATCACATTCTCCTGGATGAGCTGGGTCACTGTCAGGTCAAAAGACCAAAGGCCTGCAAGACAGAGATAAACAATCCTAATGATACTTTAACAGCCACAATAAAACAACTTTCCGAGACAACAGTAGCTGTAGAGGGAATCACCAGGTAATATTATTTGAATCAAAGGTTGCAGATATTGCTCTGACATCCGGGGTACATCCATAGAGGTCTTGTGTGAAATTCCGGTGACTTATAAAAACATTCAAGTGTACCTGCTTGAGGCACCTTTAGGAAGTCAGCCTTTTATAATCTTATGAAAGGAAGTGAACTTGCCAACAAAGCATGGACACTCTAATTTCCTTTTAAATAACACTAACAAACTAACTTAGACTTTGCACCATTGACTTTATTGGCAAGCAATGATCATTTGCACTTTGGAGCTTCTACTCTGCTCCAAATCAAACTAATTCATGGTATTTCATGGCATTTAGATGAACCCCCCCTTACCACCAAATGATTCAAGGGGAACTACTTTACTCACCAACTCTAGCAGCAATGACGCCAGCAAACAGCAGACTAACAGACATGTAGGACTGCAGAGGCAGCAGCTCTTCAGCTGGTGCAGCAGTGGTGGCGTTTCCACCGGTGAGGCTGTGGTCGGCCTCGGGCAGCGCCGTCTCTCCAACCAGGTGGGAGTAAATGTCCTGGAAGGGCGATACGCTGAGGTCGAAGGAGCTCCCGGGAGCAAAGACGGAGACGACACACAGCATGAGGCAGGACAGCTGGGCCACGCCCGATATGAAGCCTGTGCGGATCAGGCCGCACTTCTTGCGAACCCAAGTGAAGGCGACGGTGCCGCAGATGCCCGACACGGCCGAGGCCCCCATCAGCAGGCTGAGCACCGAGCCGTTGAGGCCCTGCGTGTAGGCGTAGCCCGTGGTGATGCAGTCGAAGCCCAGCACTGTCATGTAGAGGAACGCCAGGGACATGCCGGCGAAGAAGATGTTCTGGTTGTAGTAGGCCACCCAGCCGGCCTTGAGGGTGCGCAGGGGTTCGCTCACCTGGTAGCAACAGCTGTGCGGCTTGGGAGAGTCGGGCGTGGCCACGACTGCGGTTTCATTCATCAGCGGCTGAGACGACTCCTCAGGGCTCTGGCCGTTCTCCAGGTCTGCAAACAGGCAGAGATTTAGTTCTGCTCAGTCTGGATCGTGACACAGACCAGAACTCTCCAAACCCAAACAATGAGTATGATGCTTTTATAAGAAGGTACAAATCAAACACAAGGCTACCTTTCGGGGGGCTGAGCTGTTTGAGCTCCTGATGCTGTTCCTTCTGGCCGACTTTCACAGCCAACGCCGGCGTCTTCTGGTAGACCTTCCACAGCAGCGCGTACTCCAGACACATGGAACACAGGTTCCAGCCCGAGATGAAGCCGCAGCCAATGAAATGGGAGCCAAAGGCCATTATCTGACCCACCAGCATGGGAGCCAGGATGTTGGTCAGCTGGTCGATAATCCGCACTGTGGCGTTCATGTCTGTTTGATACAAGAGTGGTAGGGGTTGGAAGTCAACATTAAGTTCCAGATTTAGGAGGAAATGTGATCAAGTAGTGGCCCATGAAAGTCCCCACGTTTTGGTAGCTTTTACAGATTGATATGACAGCAGGTTTGACTAGAACGACAGTACTAGCAGAGCAAATTGATATGGGTCACCAAGTTCATAAGTGCTGAGAATGTTTGCCACCATGTGAGCTTATCTTTTAAAAAGTTTACAGCAATGTGGAGAAAGCTGCAGGGGCATAAAAGGCGAAATCGAGAGTGAGTCAGCATCCAGGGTTCAAAGTCTGCCGCACTGCACAGATCTGATAACGGGTCAAGTCGGGCCTACATTAGATGATAAGCCAGCAGTGGGTAAGAAACACTGACCTGCCAACTGGCTGCTGTCCTGACCCGCCACAACCACCACCCAATCCCTCTGGATGGTGATGGATGTAGCCGTGCTGGCTAGGTTGGCAACGTTGGCGATGGTGATCACCATTATATAGCAGGTGGTCTGAAAAACAACATGGAGTATTTTTACATTTGTAGGTTATTATTACATTTGATCGGTATCCATTTCATGTCATTAAAGGACAATCTGGGTCAGGTTACTTGCTGTCAACAAACTCCATGTAAAACCAACAATGACTTAATTGTCTGTATAGGCAAAACCTAATGCCCGTCCAAAAGTAATTTAAAACACATTACTGAGTCACACGGTTGCACTGGGTGACATGTTCCTTCATTACCATAAACACACACACTGTAGTTTATTTTGAATTCTAAGCAGTTCAACCCAAGAACAATTTTTCCATTTGATTGTTTAGTTTGAAGGATTTGTAGGCTGTAGGGCTGAAGAGGTGGAAATAGATCAGAATCAGAAAAAAACAAATTTTTGCTTAACAGGAATATGCAGTTGTACAGTTATTCCTTTAATCATCATGGGAACCTTCGATTTATCTCCCCGGGTTGGGAACCGCTGCACGAAAGCAAATGCATCTTAACAAACGCACTATTTACTCCTGTTTGAGCACCGTTTGCTAAAAGCCATCTCTCTCAGGAAATCGCTGAGCCTTTATAAAAATAATGAAACTACATATTTGCAACATGAAACTTCACCTTTTCAGGAGGAACCAATGGCTTGAGTGTCACATACAAAGTAAGGAAGTCATGAAGTACTCAGATACGGACTAAGGAATCCTTTTGCTTCTAGTTTTGGCTATTTTTATGATTTAAATTCAAGAATGACAGGCACCTTTATGGGTTGAATCCCTTTATAACTCTTACTAACTGCCATCACATGTCACAAAAAAATGGACAACTTCCTGTAGGAGAAAAATCAATAACCTTCTGGGAAAAATAGCTCTTTAAAAGAAAAAACAGGGCAGCTGATAATACACGTGTGACCTCAACTACAGCAGCAAGATGACAAAAAAAAGGTCAAAAACGTGGCACACTTCATCTAGAAATCGGCCTCTTTGTTTCTTATGTGCGTTGCAAAGCAGCCGCTCTGTTCAGAAAAGCAACAAAATTGCTCCAACAGGCCAGGCCACATTTCTCTCCCTGTCCGTGTCATGTGACAGGCCTTGTAGAACCTGCTGACTACACAGTCTTCAACGAGACACTCTATCTCCTTTCTCGCCGTCCCCTTTCCACCCCCTCCGCACACACACACACACGCACACACACACTGACACTGCTCTAAACACTCTCACACGGACAACCCCCTCCCCCGCTTTACTCTGGGGACCCAAAGGCGTCCCACAAATGCAAAGGGCAACCCCCCCCCCAACAGAAAGGCCTTTGTGTTTCAACCAGATACCCAAACCAGGCTCCCACGGTGAACCGAGACCTGCCTAGTCTGCAGCTCTGGTCAGCTGCACGATCAAGTCCGAATCTTTGTGGTGAGGGAGCGCTCATGAACTTACATAGTTCAACAAGTGTAAACAAGCCCCTTGCAAGACACTGACACAAGCTTTCCTTTCCTACAGATGTGTATAGTTACCTCTGATGCTTTGTGTCCTCATCAGAAGAAAACCTAATTGTTCATGTTCCATAATTAGTAATCATTATGCAAAAAAAAAAATATATATTTTGAGTACTATAAAATAAGAAGACAAGTCGTCTGATGTGTCAGTTTTTTATCAAACAAAAATTTAAATAACAAAAACCTGCTCTGTCAATTTAAGTTAGTGGAACAAAGGTCTTCTGGGAGTGAACTACACTCTTTTCACTCTTCTGTAAAAGCTGTTTCAGTGGTCATAAATCCTATTGACGCAGGAGCCCATATCAGTAAAAGCAATCTTGAGGTCAGAGTGTTGTACTTGAGGTAAAGGGGCAAAAATGCTTTCAGTCAAAATCCCCATCAGATCATGTTGAAACCATGAGTGTGTAAGAAACAGCACAGGGGGGATCTTACCAGAATCCATCCATTGTAAAGCTCCACAAGCTGTTCTTTGAACTGGAAAACAACCATCAGGAGGATCCCGCACGTGATGACGCAACTGTTCTGGACGAGCAGTGAAGTCTGGGCCACTGTGGAAACACCATGAAGAACATTAGGGACAGAAATCTGATCAAAGACAACAGGTTTCTGTCTGATAAATGAGTTCATTACAGCGCTTTAACAAGACAGTTGGATGCATTCCCCGCTCCCTCATCTAATCTAATTGTGTCTGCCAAATTCCTCTGAATAAACATTCAACAAGAGTTGCATTTAACTATGACAGTGAGGGAGGCAAACAGCACATGTGCACACTGTACATGATGACTATAATGCTAATCCCTTTGTTGGTGCTCCGCATCTATTTTCAGGATCAAATCTACATGGTTTTGGCTTTTTATTCGTGGCAAACGTGTTGTGACGAACCCTCAGGAAAAGCTGGCTTTGATTTAAGCTGCCTTACCTTTGAGTCTGGGATTTTTGTCCACCCAGTCCCCAATGATGGCCCCCAGCAGCAGCACGGAGCCGGCCACCACCAGCCCATATACGGCCGTGAGCAGCAGGCTGTTGCCATACAGCTCGACCAGGAAAACAGCCACGGCAAAGTTCCACATGCGGTCACCCTGAGAATTTAAAATTTTGATTAATTAAAGGTCAGGCTGATATTTGATCCAACATTTCCAAGTTGGTGCTGGTAGGAAATGTGGTTTGGGTGCTACATAAATAATAAGAGCCCACTCTGCTGCCATGGGCTGAAAAACTAACACCCTCTTCAGGTGACTCTATCCTTGGAGCCATGGAGGAGCTTTGTAAAGACCAGCAGTGTGTGGTGAGCTACACTGGGAAAACATGTCATTTTGTATTGTAATGACAGTTATAATAACACATATAATGTAACAATAACACATTCATGGTGTATTACATCTGGTTTGACACTAAAGTAGGCTACAGATGTACAAATAGATAATAGTGGGTCATTTAAAAGACAATAATGTGGTTAATTCTAAGTCACTGTTTCACTTACCCATGTTGACAGAGCATGTCCCATGTAAATTAGGAATTTAGAAGAAGTGAAGAAGTCTCGGGCAGATTCTGCAAAGCATTTAAACAAACACTGAACTGTCAGAGGCGTTGCAGCTGGTGGTCCGCAGCCACCGTTTTACAGTCATGATGTGAAGGCTCTGTCAGGGAAATATCTTGTTATTGCAATGCAAAATAACCTACCACAGCAAGTCTTCTTAGGTCCAGAGTTTTCCATTTTAAAGATGTCCAAAAAAAAATAACCTATTGAATATTACTGTTTTCCCTTTACGTTGTCTTCTCTTTTGTGCTTGTAGGAAGTCGACCCCTGTCACTGCTGGACCTAAAGATTACTGACTGCAGTGACACAAACACGGCGTTTCTCCCTTTTCCTCCTTTCCAAACTTAGCTATCACTGTAGCTGAAGTTGGAAAGAAATAGCTTTATAGACTAAAAGCCGGTTTGTCGCGAAAACACAAAGCTGGGAGCCGAACGCAGTGCTGCTCCGTCGGGCGGTGAGCTCCGCTCTGATGCTCTGTGTTTACGTCCCGCACGAAATATACCCACGTTGTCACGTGACCTGCCTTTTTTTTTTTTTTTACATTGTGTCAAAAACAAGCGGGGCCCTCCTACCGCACACAAGCTCGGGGGAAAAAAGCTGAAACATGTCTGTACAAAAAAGGTGTCATTGTTAACAATATCAGAAAAAAACCTATAGCCCTCTTTCCACAGCGGTTGGTGGGTTTTTGTTTGAATTGGCTGCCTTCCCTCAGGACGGTTCGACACCAATCAACACCTGACCCAAGACGCTTCTACAGAGATAACAGCTCTTTATCACAGCAAATGAATTATGGAGCCTATTTGGCTTACTCAATCTTTCTGAAGGTTAGGTGTCTGCTGTTGTCAAGTGTGTGTGTGCTTACTCACTACAGTGGTTTCTCCCACCACAGAGTTCACATCTTAAACTTAGGCAAAACTAGCAATCCCATCATGTATAAATACTCCATTACAAATCCTGCTCTCAAAATTTTACCAAAGTGTTGGTGGGAAAATGTACCGAGAATATCACACCTAAAAGTTTTTACTTGTTATGCTGAGTGCACCTGAGAATGTTCTATTGAATATCATTACTGATTAATGAATGTGTAAGTAGCATTTTACTTATTGTAGTTGGTGAAGGTCGAGCTAACTGTAACTACTTTACAAGCAGTTTGGTATTTTAATCTAGATCATAAAAAAGTGCAATATTTGTCTCTGAAATGGAACACAAGTCTGAAGTGGCATAAAATGGACGTACTAAAGGAAAGTTTGTAATACAAGGTACAAGGTTGCTTATTAGTCATTATACAGCACAAGGCTGCGTAACGAAATTAAATTTGTAGTTCCTTTATGCTACACACACAACATATAATTAAGTGAAGGCCTATATTAAAATATGGTAACATATAAAATAAAACAAAACAATATACAGTTATTTATATACATACACGTATAAACCCGGAAATTCCACTGTGCATTTTTTGAATTTGCATCTGGGTTGAATATAAAGTACAAATACAAGTAGTATAACATTGTACTTCAGTACAGCAGCCTAATTGAGTAAATGTGGGCTACGTTGTGACTTTTCATCATTGACTGACTGTAAGAGAGCATAGACTATAGATGTTGGGAGTTACAACCATATGGTCATTTTCAGTCGGTGGGATGCAGGTTTACACCAAAACTGTGTCACTAATGAACTATTCTGTTATGCTATGTTTATCAGTAAAGATTCAGTTGGTTCAATCAGAGCAATAAAACAGTTCCATCTTAAATGGAAGAATGTTTTAGATGAATACAATACATTTCCCGAATACAAAATCATTTGAGACTTTTGATGATTTAAAAGACATGCTGCACTTACTTTTTATAGCTATATACTTAGGGGGCACTAGCAAGTATTGCAATCTAAGTTAAAGATTAACTGAACATCCCTGTGTATTTTGGTGCCTTCCAACACAAATAATCGCTGAAGGTTTCAAACATTTTGGTATAGCCTTGACCTGGTGAAGCTGTTTACCACGAAGCGTGTTGCCTTAGAGCTTGGCCTTTTTGTGTACAAAGCACACATATAGATGACTTGCAGGTCAAACTCTCCCAACTGACCATTCCAGTTTTTTCAACTCATCCCTACAGCGTTCTGAAAGCTGAAGTACTCACACACACAGCACAAAAACACTTGCAAACAAACATCCCAGAAACATTCCCCTTTGGCTGAATCCATCATTGCAGACATGTTGATCCAATAAACATTTGTTATTGTGTCCAGCCCTGTTGCAACATCTTAAAATATGAGCTAAATTAGATTTAGAAGCCAAAAAATGGTGTTTTAAGCAACAGATTCAATTCCAAACGGGGTGTAGAAAGCTTGTGCTGCTTTTTTCGTGCATTCAAATTCAAATACATATCCACCTCAAAATGTACATTTGTTTATGTAAACTTAAGTGAAGCCAATTTCAAAAATGCATTACATCCAATTTGGCTTTATATTTTGGCTGAAGTATTGTTTATAATGTCTAAACCACTTTGAAAGTGTTTTTAAAAGTCAAATATATATTTTAAATAAATATAATTGCAAGGGGTAAAAATGGCATTAAAATATACTAAAAATATAGCATATTCTATATTCTTCCACACTTACTTACAAGGAACAATGTAAGTGGGTCATTCTTAAGGCAGGATTGTGTGTAATATTTATCTGAGGCCGGGTTCCCAACCATGCAAAACCCCTGTTTCCATTGTTTATGCTAAGCTAAGCTAATCTCCTTCTGGCAAGTAGCTTCATATTTAGCAAACAGACATCACAGTGGCGTCAATCTTCTCATCTAACACCCGCAACTCTTTATTTCCCATGGGCCCCATAGGGGGTTGATCCGGCCCTGTATATACTTACTATATTTTAGCATGCAGTACTATGAGTATGTGAAAACATACTGCTGCTGGGCTACCAACAAATCTGCTTGTTAGCTTCACACAGATGTTAAAAAAATATATACACGAGCAACACGTAGGCCTACTCTGTGCCATCTCATGGCATGAGGGAGCAAAACTGACATTGTCAAGGAACATAAGCACATATTTTGGGCCAAGTGATGACAATAGGCGCTTCTATCCCTTTGTGATCTATTCAAGGATCACAGAGAGCTTGAAAGCCTTCACACATAGAGCTGCTACAAACAGATTACCAGCCACACTATTAGTGGGCCGGTGTGTCAGTTACCTGTCATCAGTGGTCAGACGGCTGCTGTGTCATTGTGCGGCCGTGTGACCTGCAGGTATGTCTGCAGGATCCCTTTACAGCCTGCCTGTGGCACAACAAGCTGTGTTTACGCGGGCTAAATCTGTGCTCCCAAGACAAAAATATGAGAATGACTTGCCTCCTGTGGCCGTAAGTTGTCTGACACTCACAAGCCACAGCTAAAGAAAGGATATAGGTAGAGGGAGGATGTGAAATCTCACCTGAAGGACGGTATAGGTGAGGCTGGATCAGGTTATCCATCTATTGTTCATGCGCCCTGTATGTGGAATACATGTTCTTTTTTTGTGCTGAGCTCTTGTTCCAATAGAGCCTATCGAGTTATAGGTATTACAGCACAGCTCCCGTGGTTCAGCAATTTCATTGACATTTAGCTGGAATACCTGACACTGAGTTCTCAAGGTCTCCCAACATCTCATGACACGGGACACAGCAAGATCACTAACCATCTCAGTGACCAAACAACACCAGAAACAATGATTATAATTATTACCGTTACCCATTTTTGGAACATAACAGTGCTGCGGTCTTATTGTTACTGTGGATATCTACCACAGCCCTGGGCCTAAGACTTTGATGTGTGCCTGACAGCTCCAGCAGAGAACGATAAACACCAAAGGTCACTGTCTGGCTGGCCACCTTTCCCAAAATGACAACCCCTGTATCTAGGGAATGAAACTGTAAACATCTGACAGCTGTTTCAGATCAATACAATGTTGCAGCTCAGTGGGCAGCAAACCAGTGTGGTAACTTCAGACAGGTGTGTTTGCCTGTCATGGTGCAGGATCGAAGGGTGCTTGACCAGCTGCTGAAGCAAGGTCAACAGTTGTGTCATCCAGGGTAATGTCTCTTTACCGTTTGTTGACCGCTGCCAGGCCATTGAATCTCAGGTCCTCAAAAATATGTCTTTAATGTAATTGTACCACGTGTGGCTGGTTTGAATCCCTGCATGCTGAAGGCGTGAGTAATGCGCTGCCTTCCCTCAGTGACTTCTGTTGGTTGGTCCACCACTTTGGTCCAGACTCAACAGATATTGGATGGAGTGCCATGACATTTTGGTGCAGGCATTCATGGCCAGCAGAAGATGAATCCCACTGACTTTTCCTCCAGCGAGCCATCACCAGGC